CTAAATAGCAGGTGAGGACTAATGGTTAGACAATCTCCAAGTAATTTGTTTTGCTTATCATAGCATCCACATAATGAGTAAGAGCATGTTTGGCTGTGTTTACTAATAAAAAAGTAAATACTGACTAGCTTTCTACAAATTTAACTTTCAAGCATAGACAAACATGTTTATAATTTCTTTGTTTAGAGGGGGCAGGGTTGGGTTGGAGGGGAATCTACGATGTTTTCCGAGGTGGAGGAGGTTCAGTTCGGTTTTAGAATAAATCTGGCTGGCTGTGCCAACGCAATCCTTGTTTTAGGTGTGCCGGGTACAGGTCATCGCAGGCTGCTGGCCTCTACAACTGAGCTTGTAAATGCTAAGCCTGGACCTTCTGGCACATTTCAACGCCCTAATGGCTAGCCATCAAGTTTTGCCTTTCCTGTTCATAATGGTGAAACCGCTTTTCTTGAAGGTCCAGTCTCTATATTTTTTGTTTGCTTATCCGTTGGTTTTTTTGTACAGGATTATGCTTGCTTTGTCTCTATATGCTCGTCGAGAACTCACAATCAAATGGCTCCTGTTTGGCAAGATTTTCTGCGAGGAGAGAGGACACAATTTCTTTGCAAGATTAACACTTCGCTCTAATGCAAAATATTCTCAAACCTCATCCAGGGATTGCTCTGCATCTATGCTGTATCAATGATTATATTTGTACCCTTCCATGTTTCCTCAGCATCTTATATAATGAGAAAGTCCAGTTTATACTCAGACTCTCGTCTTTCAGCAGCATTTACCAAGAACTGCGCACTTTACTACAATTTCAAGAAATTCCATTGATGCACGCACATTGTTTCCATGCACGAAAAATTGATCCCGAACCTGTAGTTTAGTTACCACTACCAATCTGCTCAAGATACAAGGGGCAAAATTGGACATGTTCCTTAGCAAACCTTTCATAAAGTCAACTGTTACAAAACGCAAAACAGTAAACTCGAGTTGTATGCCTGTCAACCATTTTCCTACTTTTTCAGATGATTTCCAGGGTATCAAAAGGTATGCAAGAAATTTAATTCCCATTGATCTTATTTATGAGTCGATTACATTTTGAAGAAAAATTGTGTTGGTACACATTAATACGGTACCAACACCAGAACTCTTCATAGATAAGGCCGTACACAGCCATCCCCGCTGGCACAGGCTTCAGATCCTTGTTGCTTGCCGTGGGTTGACACTCAATACAGTATTCCTTGCATTCAGCAAGATTGATCATAAAGGACGTCTCTCTGCAAGCAATATATCTTTCCATGCTTCGTACAACATCCATGTGATACCTGACGAAGGCATGACTTTCAAGCAACTTGCGGCCCAGCCTCTGTAAAGGCGCATAAGACCTTCTTGCTTAACAACTTCCAAAAGTGCAGCTGACATGTGGGGTGGCCATTTACCTTGCAACGCTCCTACCATAAGCCGTTTTCTTGCAACCTCCAAAGGATAACTTATCGTGCTCGCTGTCAAGCCTGAAAAAAGCGAGCAATCATTCAAGAGGAATCCTGGTGGTATGGTTGGTAGTCACAATTCAATTTTTCTACCCAGGTGGGGATGATTGGATAGCTCTAGAAATTATCATCTAATGGACATACGAATTCAAAGACATCTGGGTGTACACAGCCCCACAAGAGTTCAACGGGGAGGGGGGAAGATGGGGGATTAGACAGTGGGATTATGCTTTTTCTTGCTATCATTTTTCACCTTTTTGCTTATTTGAACACGAGGGTAAAACTACCTCAAATGATTCTTTGCTATAAAAATTGAAGGTCGGGGGATCTAAGTGCCAGCGATTCCAAACTTTGGGAATCATGGCAGCAATTTTCCCGAGGAAACATTAGTGGACCCACGAGTTTATATAAGAAGTTGAAGTATCATGATGTTAATGAAGGAAAACTAGTAGTATATGCAAGCAAAAATTGGAAATGGTGAAGATTCTCACCAGAGAGAGCTCCTAATAATAGCATCTCAGCACAACTTAAAAGATTTCTTCTTCTTTGCCAGACAGTACGAGTTCTTCATTGTCTTATACATGAAGTAGTAACAAGTGCTA